ATAGCTTTGTAACAAAGACGATGAATTCAGACAATGCAGAAGTCTGGATTTTCTCCAACTCTGTCAAGAGATTAAGTTCCCTGTGTTGGCAAGACACTTGACCTGGTAAAAGCCACTTACATTGGATTTCATTGAGCATCAGCTGCACATTTTAAGATTTTTAACATATGGGGGGGGGGGGGAAAGTCCTTTTAAAGTAACTATCTACACAAACCCATTGGTATGATGAAGATAATTCCCCTCCACACACTGACCTTCACTGGTTTTGTCACGGTGTTTCTGTGAGGGACTAATCTCATCCAGGCAGCTGTGCAGTGACATGGTGAACCAACTCTTGCTCTTCCAGCAGCACCTGGTCGGTGCAGCTCTGTTAATCGCTATTTCCCTAAGATATTATCAGTTTCATGCAGAGAGGATTTAATTAGTCCCCGGCTCTAAAAAACAGCCCTGGGTGTCACTTAAAAGACGCATCTATCACAGACGGATGACAGGAAGGATTACGAGATCTCATGATGAAGCGAGTCTCGAGCAGTCGAACCCCTGCCCTCCCCGGCGTCAGGCTGCGCCTTCCACCGCCCCCGCCGCCCCAGGGAACAGCCCCAAGCGCCACCTTCTGCTGCGCAGCCGGAACCACAGGGACCAGCTTCAGCAGCTGGTCAACTGCTCACACACTCGACTCCATCTGGTTCGGACGCAAAACCCAAACTTGTTTTCTCACTCAACAGCTCAGCGTGTCCCAGCTGTCAGAACTGCTGCTCCTCCAGAAGAGCAGCGAACAGCTGGAGCACAGCTGCCCAGGGGCGCACATCAGGAACCTGACATAAACGACATTTTTGCTAATTTCAGCCAGCATCCCAACAAGTAGCACTTTGTGCATTTTTGCAGAAGGTTCTGTATTTCTTATTGAAACCTCACAGAGCACCTCGAGCACACTGTCACAGCTTCCAGCCCAGATAACAGCATGCAATAGCCAGTGGGCCCCAAACTGGAGATGAACAGACTTTGATAAAATTACTTCACAGACCTCACACACAAAACAAAATCCCCAAAGAAAAACCAAAGTACTCTGGATTCTTGTAAAAAATGAACATCCTAAAATAAAACAGTCTAATTTTAAAGCAAATATCAAAACACAAGTACAAAACTTATGAGTACAGAACAACCTCCTCTAACAGCTGATCCCTGGATATGGAGAACACGAAAGAGACTGTAAGGACAACAAAAATTTATATCAGAAAAAAATAATTCTAAGGGTTTTTTCCATCTGTGCTTTGGGGCAGGGCAAGGAGCGAGGGAATGAGAAATGACTGAGGCATTTTGTGTGTTGACTAGACCCCATCTTTGTTATAACAATGGTAACAAAGAACTTTATATTTACACCTTGGATATATGGGCTGACAGAATAAGAGAAGCATTTTCTGGCAAAGCTACAACCAAATTAGCAACATATTTATCTAAAATTAAGAGAGAGGAATAAAACCATATAATACTAAAGTCAGACTTCAAACAATGGACTAATTGGCTTTGCCTATTTGAAAGGCCAAGAAAGACTATAAATAACCCATCATTTCCCATTTAAATGAACTGGGCTATTCCTATTTCTGTCAATCTTTGTAGAACAACCTTGATTTCAGCCAGTTGCTCCAGATTAAATGGTTCCAGATCAACATAGTCACAACCTAGAAATTGTCATAGTAATCATCAAACTGAAAGCCAGTGGTAGCCTTAGAATCTAAACTGGATTCAGTGTAAGAAGAAACAGTGACACTCAGTGGCTCACCAAAAAAAAAAATTCTTATGATAATAACGAATCAAGTATGGTGACACCATGCTCATCAGCGACACTCCTGTCATTACCAGTGAACTTGCTGCCAATTCAAACACTGGGCCCTCTGACTCAAGTCACTTCTGCAGTAAAAGAAGGGATTATGAGGGACACTTCCATGATAGAGTATATATGGCCCTTACCATCAGAAAAAAAATGAAAAAACCTGCAAACGACATACAAAATTAATTGTCACAGTATTCTTTCTTGATTTCTCTTTTTAAAAAAAGAGAGTTAAAGCTGACATTCTGATACTGGAATGAGCAAAAAGTGTATTATTACCTTTCTGGAAAAGTTTAAAAAGTTGTGGAGTGCAATGATCCAGAACAAGTGCTTAAATTTCTGTACTGTCTGAACCACAAGAAAGATACAGGGTTGAGTTACATTCTTGTGTAATTCCAGTGAAGTCCCAGAGCATCTCAGGAAACAGGCAACAGGAAAATAAACCGAGGCTGAAATGAAGAAGAAAATACTGGATTAAAAGTAGAGGCTTGGGAGACCATTGTTAGGACTGATTCTACTTGATGTTTTTACATTACGATTTTTAGCACAGGAAGTAGCAGCATGTGAGGGACAATTTTCTAGTGATAGGAAGTTGTGAGGTGTTACCAACACAACGGAAACTGAAACACCCGCTGGGAAACGGTCAGGTGAGGGTGAAGAGGAGAACCAGCGGGCCGGGCAGCGCAGACTGTCAGCGAGGAATGCGCTAGGGCCGGGGCAGACGGGGCTTCCCCAGCTCAGACCCACCGGGAGCTGCAGCGTTACGGGACGCGCAGCCCCAGGCAGCACTGCCCGTCTGAGACTCAAACCGCAGACGTTTCCGTGACGTAAAGGAGAGGGAAAATTCAAAACGAATTAAACATTACGTCAGCAGGGAATGAGATTGTCAGTGGCTGAGGGACGGCCCTGCAAAACACCTCATCGCAGTACTAACCCCTCCTCAGGATCTCTCTAGTCCTCGCTTCTCCTCACTCCAGATTCAAACCCCACGAGCCTCTGCACGCAGCGCAGACACCGTTACCGACGGGCGGTTATCGGCCCCCGCCAGAGGCACAAAGCCCGAACGGTTCGTAAAGCTCCGCTGGGACGCGGAAAGCGGATGCGAACTCCTTCGTAACAAAACCCGCAAAGCTCAGATGAAGGGACAGGCGGCACCGCAGCTCCAGACAGCAAAGGGGCGCTCGGAACCCTCAGGCCGAGTCTCCCCAGCAGCACCGTGTGCAGCCGCAACTCCCCGGCTCCAAGGGAACGGCCCCGCGCAGCCGGCGGAGGGCGAAGGAGCCCCGTAAGGGGCCGCTCCTTGGGCCGGACCCCGGG